CCACCACCGCTGTACTGGCAGCCATCAGCCTGGCTTGTGGCTGAGCAGAGCTCCCCCTGTGGGAGCTCACTGACCACCAGGGGGCAGCTCCTGCATTGAGCGTCTGCCCCCTGGTGGTCAGTGTGCGTCATAGGGACCAGTCATTCCTAGTTGTTCTGCTGGTAGGGTCAATTTGCATATTACCCTTTTATTATTTAGGATTTCTATTGGTTTCAGAGAGGAAGGGAGAGGGAGAGATAGAAACATCATTGATGAGAGAGAGTCATGGATCAGCTGCCTCCTGCACTCCCCACACTGGGGATCGAGCCCACAACCCGGGCATGTGCCCTGACCAGGAATCAAACTGTGACCTCCTGGTTCCTAGGTCGATGCTCACCCACTGAGCCCTGCTGCCGCCAGGCGTCATTCCTGTTTTATAGACCAGGGTTGGGATTGACCCCACCTGTGGGCCTGGCCAGGGTGTCTGGTTCGAGGGAGGTGGGAACTGGCCTGAGAGGCTGACAGGACCCTCTGCAGCTGGACTGGCCCCCCAGGCACAGTGCTCCGCCCAGCACCCCTCCCTCCTGCCCCAGCTTTGCCTGGTGATCCCCCCCTCCCCCGGCTGCTCCAGAGGTGAGGAGGGGACACCACCGTGGCGGGTGCTTGGGGGACTGGCGTGTGCGTGGGAAGGTCCCTTTCAAGGCAGAAACAATGTGGTGTTAAAGTGGTGGGGAATGTGGGCTCATTTTCAGCAGCTGTATGCAAATTGCATGCAAATGAGACTATTTTCCTTCAAGTTCAGAGGAACAGTGTTCTGAGTCCCGTGGGCCCAGCCTCTTGCTCTCATTCGGAGCAGGAGCCCCTGGGAAGCTGGCTGGGCGGGGCGGCCACCGCTGTGCTTCGCAGAGGAGCTGGCCCTGCATCCTGCCTGGGACCTGGCCCCAACTCTCAGCGACTCGGGGCGGCCCTGAGCATGTGGCTTAGCTCTGATGGTTTTCCCCACACCCCTGCGCGGTCCGCAGGCTCAGAGGAGAGCGCCACCCCCAACAGCACGATGGAGCTGGGTCACAGCCAGTGGGGGCACCGCGGGGGTGGACACCCTGGTGCCCAGTGCCGGCCGCTCCTGCTCCTGCTCCTGCTCCCCTCCCCCTCCCCCTCCCCCCGCTGCCCATGAGTTATTAATCCGTCTCCTTGTCTGTTTACCTCTTGACAGCAGAAAAGAGAAACAACAGAATTAAACCAAACGCACGGCCCAGACATCAAACTCTAAAGTGCGTGCTCTGCAGATAGAGGGTGGGGGTGGGGGGAGCGGTGGAGGAGGCCCGTGGGATGGAGCTGCTCCTCTAATGAGCCACAGCCTGGCTCCTGGGCGGCCTTTTCGGGCCTAAACGAGGCTGCAGCAGGCAGGGCAGAGGCAGCGCCGCGGGGATGGGCAGGTGCGCGCCTTGAGCTGGGAGGGAGGCGTGAGCAGGAGACCCCCTCAACCTCCTTGTCCTTCCATGTATGTATGTTTGTTTGTTTTGTTGATTTCAGGGAGGAAGGGAGAGGGAGATAGAAACATCAATGATGGGAGAGAATCGTTGATCAGCTGCCTCCTGCACAGCCTTCATGGGGGATCGAGGAGCCCGCAGCCAGGCCTGTGCCCTTGCCTGGGAATCGAACTGTGACCTCCTCCTTGTCCTTTTTTTTTTTAAAAAAAATATTTTATTGATTTTTTACAGAGAGGAAGGGAGAGGGATAGAGAGTTAGAAACATCGATCAGCTGCCTCCTGCACGCTCCCCACTGGGGATGTGCCCACAACCAAGGTACATGCCCTTGACCGGAATCGAACCTGGGACCCTTGAGTCCGCAGGCCGATGCTCTATCCACTGAGCCAAACCAGTCGGGGCTTCCTTGTCCTTTCCTGATGGTGGTTCTGGGGGGCCTGGCTTCTCTTTTGGAGCCCTGGCCACAGGGAATGGCCAGCTCCCAGGAAGGTCCCTGTGACGGGCTCGGTGTTTGAGAACAGAGGCCTGACCCCAGGCCAGGGTGGGATGTCTGGTCTCATTCCAGGCGACTTGGGCTTGACCTGTCACTCACCTTCTGTGACCCTGGGCCTCAGCATGCCCATCATTGACATGGGCTCCTGGTCCGCAGACAGCCAGGCCTGAGTGTCAGAACCACGGACAGCGCCACAGCTGCTGCTGGGCAGGCGGGGCAGGCACCCAGCATCCTTCAGGGTCCCCTGTGCCCTCCGCCGCCGGACACAGACCCCAGGCCTGGAGCCGTGCCACTGGCCGTCTGTGAGGGCCCGGGAGGGAGGACAGTCGCTGGGGATGGTCTCTGTGCGGGTCCCCTGTGCAGGTGGCGGAGGTGGAGACCCTGCCGCCTCACACCCGTGCGAGTTCCTGGCCAGGCCAACTCGGTGGTCTCCACCCGGGGGGGGGGGTGGGGGTGCGGGGGGTAGTCAGCTGCTGCTGCGGGGCAACCACGAGGGCTCATTAGAAACTGGGGCCTCCGCCTGGGGGGGCCTCACCGTGGGCTCCAGGGCCGGCGTGGTGGCACGGGAGATGCACCCACAGAGCCTGGTTCTCCTCGAATGATTCAGTCCCCGCTTCCCATCGCCCGAGGGGCAGTCCGTGCCTTCGCTGTCTGTCACCCCAGCTGCGCTATTGACGCCATCTGGGAGGCGGACTGTCACCCTACCCTTCGGGGGCGCCTGGCCCCTCCCTCCCTCTGCCCCCTCCTGTGTATATTTGGGAGCCGCCCTGGGAGCGTGTCCGTTGCAGTTGCCTGGACTCGGGGTCAGTTTGCTGAGGGCTGACACCTCTCGGTCCGGGTCCTTTCGTCTGTGAACACAGGCTCTCCCGGCTTATTTCCGTCTGTGGCGACGTGCTAAATACACTTAGACAGCCCGGCCGGCGCGGCGCAGGGGCTGAGCGTCGACCTATGACCCAGGAGGTCATGGTCCTATTCCTGGTCAGGACCCAGGCCCGGGTTGTGGGCTGGATCCCCAGTGTGGGGTGTGCAGGAGGCAGCCGATCCATGATTCTCTCTCATCCTTGATCTTTCTATCTCTCCCCACTCCCTTTCTCTCTGAAATCAATACAAATATATTTTTAAAAATTCTTTTAAAAAATAAATG